GGTGGAAACACAGCCCTACCATTTGCCATGGACTGATCCAGACTGCACTGGAACAGGGGCAAGCTCCAGAACACCTGCAATACATTGATGACATTATTGTGTGGGGCGATACAGCGGAAGAAGTCTTTGAGAAAGGGAGGAAAATAATCCAAATCCTGCTGAAAGCCGGTTTTGCCATAAAACGGAGTAAGGTCAAGGGACCTGCACAGGAGATTCAATTTTTGGGAATAAAATGGCAAGATGGACGTAGACGGATCCCCACAGATGTGATCAACAAGATAACAGCAATGTCTCCACCAACTAATAAGAAAGAAACGCAAGCTTTCTTGGGTGCAGTGGGGTTCTGGAGAATGCACATCCCAAATTACAGTTCGATTGTAAGCCCTCTCTATCATGCGACCCGGAAGAAGAATGATTTTAAATGGGGCCCTGAGCAGCAACAAGCCTTTGAGCAAATTAAACGCGAGATAGTTCATGCAGTAGCCCTTGGACCAGTCCGGACCGGGCCAGATGTAAAAAATGTGCTGTACACTGCAGCTGGGGAGAACGGTCCTACCTGGAGCCTCTGGCAGAAAGCTCCAGGGGAGACTCGAGGTCGACCCCTCGGCTTTTGGAGTCGGGGATACAAAGGATCTGAGGCCAGCTATACCCCAACTGAGAAAGAGATACTGGCAGCCTATGAAGGGGTTCGAGCTGCTTCGGAAGTGACTGGCACTGAAGCACAGCTCCTCCTGGCACCCCGGTTGTCCGTGCTGGGCTGGATGTTCAAAGGCAGGGTCTCCTCTACACATCATGCAACTGATGCTACATGGAGTAAATGGGCTGCACTAATTACACAATGAACTCGAATAGGAAATCTCAGTCGTCCAGGCATTCTAGAAGTCATCATGGACTGGCCAGAGGGCAAAGATTTTGGAATGTCACCAAATGAGGAGGTGGTGCGCGCTGAAGAGGCCCCACGTTGGGCGCCAAAAAGAACTGTCGTGGTTCTTGTTCACTCAATCCCAGTGAGTGGTGCCGAGCTGACAACAATCGAGGTCCGTGTCCCCCCCCCACCGGGGCTCTCCCCTTCCCCGCTCCCGGAGGAACGGGGAGGAAGATCGAAAGAGTGCAACTCCTACGGGTTGAGACAAGAACAGTCCAGCAATCAATGTACACAAATCACCACCGCTACTATCAACTACAACAATGATAAGGGAAAATAACAAGGGAAGAGAATACGATACCACCAGCCAAGAAAACAAGTTCCACCCGGAAGCCCGTGTCCTTCCGGGTGACTCCCAGTCACCCCCCACCCCGGGCATGACGTGCTGTGGTATGGAATACCTCCCCGGCTAGCCCGGGTCAGGCGCCCCGTCTCTGCTTCCTCCCGGCTTCCCCTCCTCCCTGGCAGAGCATGAGCCTCACAAAGTCCTTGGTCAGGGTAAACATCACTTAGCAACAACCGAAAGCATCGGTATCACCAGCACTGTTCCCAGGCTGGAAGTCAAAACACAGCACTGCACCAGCTACCACGAAGGAGAAACATGACTGCTACTGCTGAACCCAGGACAATTGGGCTCTGACCTGTACCCATAGGAGAAGCAGGACAAGGTGGTTTTGGGGTGTTTTGGGGGTTTTTTGGTGTGTTTATGTGCTGTTTTGGGTCTCTGATCCTGTATCCCATAGGAGAAGCAGGACAAGGTGTTTTTTTGGGTGTTTTGAGGTGGTTTTGGTGTGGTGTTTTGGGGGTGTTTTAGTGTGTTTTTGGGGTGTTTATGGTGTGTTTTGGGCCACTGACTGTGTATCCCGTAGGAGAAGCATGAGAAGGTGGTGTTGGGGTTTTGGGGGGTGTTTTTGAGATGGTTTTGGGGTGTTCTGGTGGTGGTTTGGGGCTTTTGGGGGCTGTTTTGGGGGTCTGACCCTGTATCCCATAGGAGGAGCTGTGATCCCCCCCAGGCCAATGGCATTCCATAGGGAACACAGTCATTCCATAGGGAATGCTGCCATTCCATAGGGAATGCTGAGATCCCATAGGGAGACGCTTCAGTTCCATATGGGACACTGAGGATCTCACAGCTTCTCTGTCACTGTGGACAAGGAGGAGTTGTGACCCCCACCGTGACAATGGCATTCCACAGGGAACAGCGTCATTCCATAGGGAATGCTGGGATTCCATAGGGAAATGCTGCGGTTCCATAAGGGACACCGAGGATCACACATCTTCTCCAGCACCATGCACAAGGAGGAGCTGTGACTGCCGTTGGAATGCTGGGATTCCATAGGGGGACGCTGCAGTTCCATAAGGGACACTGAGGATCTTGGGTCTTCTCCAGCACCGTGGGCAAGAAGGAGCTGGGACTGCCATAGGGATGCCGGGATTCCATAGGGAACACTGCCATTCCATAGGGAACACTGGAATTCCATAGGGAGACACCGCAGTTCCACTGAGGATCTTGCATCTTCTTTGCCACCGTGGACAAAGAGGAGCTGTGACCCTCATTGGAATGCCTGGATTCCATAGGGAACACTGCCGTTCCATAGGAATGCTGTGATTCCATATGGGGATGCTGCAGTTCCACAAGGGACATTAAGGATCTTGGATCTTCTCCGGTACTGTGGACAAAGAGGAGCTGTGACGCCCCCATAGGACACTGGGGACCCCCCTTGGACACCGGGATTCCATAGGGAGCACTGGGATTCCATAGGGGGACACTGGGATTCCATAGGGGGACACTGGGATTCCATGAGGAACACTTGGCATCTCCAGTGCCTGGAGTGGATGAAGCCAGAGGAGATGCCTCATGGGACTCATATAGGGGATGCTGTGTCCTCCTATGGACCACCCTATGGGGCTGAGGGGGTCTAGATGGGACCAAGGGTATCCCTATGGGGTTAGGAGCATCCTTATGGGGTTAGGAGCATCCTTATGGAGTTAGGAGCATCCATATAGGACACGGGGCTTCCATACAGGACCACTAGCATCCATCTAGGACTGAGGGCCTCTATACGAGGCTGAGGGGCTCTCTATGGGCCTACGAGCAGCATCCATATACAACATGGAACCAGCAGCATCCGTATCAGACCAAGGGCCTCCATATGGGACCACAAGCATCCATCTAGAGCTTAGGGCTGAGGGCCTCCATATGTAGCTATGGGCCTCTATATGACCCTGAGGACCTCCATGTAGGAGCGAGGGCCTCCATATGGGACTGTGAGCTTCCGTATGTGACATGGGGCCTCCAGATTGGACCACGAGCATCTACATTGGGCTGAGGGCTTTCAAATGGGGCCATGAGCTTCCATATGGGCCATGAGCTTCCATATGGGGCCATGGGCTTCCATACATGACGAGGGGCCTCTCTATGGGACCAAATGTAACTCTATGGGACCATGCTTGTGATCCCATATGGAGGCCCTCGGTCTGATATGTGCTTCCATATGGCACTGAGGACCTTCTCTATAGGGTAGAGGGCATCCGTATGGGGCTGAGAGCCTCTCGATGGGGCCAGGACCCTCCCTGTGGGGCTGAGGACCAGCCCTTATGGGGCCACAAACCTCCACAGGGGACTGAGTGTATCCATCTCTATGGTGCTGGGGGCTTTTCTACGGGGTTCAGAAGCTCCCTATGGGGCTCAAGCCTTTCCTATGGGGCTGAGCCTTCCCCATAGGGCTGAGCCTTCCCTATGGGGTTCAGGCTTCCCTATGGGGCTGACCCTTCCCTATAGGCTGAGCCTTTGCTATGGGGTTCAAGCTTTCTCTATGGGCCTGAGGCCTTCCTATAGGGGTGAGGCTCCCCTATAGGGCTCCACCCTCACCCCCATACATCCCCTTTGCCCCCCTCATAACCCCGGGGAGGGGGGGGTAGAATGGGACAATACCATTCAAGGCAATAAGGGGGGGCAGGAGCCCCCCCCAGCCCCTCATTTTGAGGCCAAATCCTTAATAATAATAATTAATAATATGCTAATTAATAATTAGGCTCTTCCAGCACTTTCTTCCCCTCCCCCGAAATTATTTCCTAGTGGAAACCAATGGGTTTAACACCCTTCCCCTCAATATATTTGTATAAATGGCGCCTTTCCAACCCCAAATCTTGCCTTTTTCTACCTATTTTCTCCACGGGGAGGGGCGTCACTGTGACCCCTCATTGCCCCCCCCCCAAATCATTCCCCCTCCTCTATGTATATTATTTCCTACGTCCCCATGATCTTATTTAATTCCCCTGCCCCCCGTTTTGATGCTGATAGGAATAAAACTGCTGCCCCCCCCCCCCCCCCCCACCAGTGGTTTGTTCTGTAAGGGAGGGGTAGAAAAGGGGGGTCGTGACCATTCTGAGGGGCTTGGGGGCGGAGGGCTATGTAATTTTGGGTGTTGGGGTCCCCCCCATTTTGGGGAGCTGAGATCCCATTTTGGGGGAGGTGTCCCCCATTTTGGGTAGTGGGGGGGATGCCCCCCTGCGTTTCATGCCCTATGAGCCCGCCCACAGGATGGGCGTGGCCAAGACGGATGGGGCAAGCTATGATTGGCTGGGCCGCTTGTGGGGCGTGGCTTTATCCAGTGGGCGTTACCAAGAGGCAGAGCAGGGGGGACCACACCGGGGTACCCGGGTGCACTCAACGGAAGCGAGGGGGGATTGCGATGCTGATGCGTGACTGTTAGCGTTATAATGGACCAAATTCCTTTGGGAACACCGTTTCCTTCCACAGCGCCACCACCTCTGCTCATCCATGGAAGCAGGGAAGCCCAGAAGGAATCACTTCATCTTCATTGCGGGGTAACGGGGAATCACGTTTGGAGCGTGTGCTGCCTGGATGCCATCAGAGATGGAGAGCAGGGAATGGGATGGCGGAGGCGATGCCCTTCGGTCTCCAGAGCTCCTCGGTCCGGGTCTGTCTCTGCCATCTTTTTCCCTAAGGAAAACTGCAGCATTCCCAGCAGCAGAGCGCCCGCAGGCGGGATCCCAGGCTCCGCTGCGCTGGTGGGGTCCTGAGGATGAGCACAGTCTGTGCTGCCAGGGTACAGAGGCCGGGATCGCCCTCATCCAGCAGCGCTTCCAGAGCTGTGATCCAAAGAGAGCGGGATGAGCCCCTCCGTAGCCAACAGCATCCCCCCAGCCACAGCTCCCTCCTCACCTCTGCAGATCTGCTGCAGCTTCCATGGGCTTTTCCCTCTGAGGGGCCGTGCGGCCAATCCTAGGCACAGGGATAGATTGAGATCCATCAGCATCCATCAGGGATCCATCGGGATCCATCAGGGGTGCAGAGGTGGGGACCAGGATGGGGACCCCAGGAGCTCACCAATGAACCTGACGGCTGCCTCTTGCAGGGGGACCTGAGCATCCTGCAGGTACCGCAGGCTCTGGTCCAGGTATCCCTGAGCCCTCTTCCTGCTCCGCTCCAGCTGCAGAAGGAATGGGATGCTACAGAACGCCCCCATTGGCTGGAGCAGTCCCAACGCTCCCTTTCCCATCTGGATGTGGGATGGGCAGAGCGGTCCAAGGGGTTCCAATGGGAGCAGGAATGGATGCAGGGTCCATACCAAGCACTCTGCAACCCTCCACATCTGCCTCGTCTTCAATAGGCGCCGGAGCTCTTCCCATTCCAGGAGCGTCGCCGCAGCAAGGAGAGCTCCCCGGGAAGCCTGCACAGGATGGGATGGGAGACGGCACCTTGGGGATGATCCCACCCTTGGGAATGTGGGATACGGGGGGATGGGGCAGGTCCGTACCTCAGCCACGCTGCGGCTTTGGTCGCTCATGTGGAAGAAGAGCGGGAGCAGCAGATCCCAGGTTTTGCTCCTCATCCTCCTCCTGTCACGACCGAACACTGACTCCAGCAGGAGCCAGAGCACGTGGATGGAGAGCTCCCGGAGCAGGCTGCATCCCTGGAGGCAAGGAGGAAAAGGGGGCACTTAGGCAGATCCAGATGGGATGTGAAGCCCTGGAGCCATCCCCATGTGAGCTCCAAATCGCCGCAGGGGTCCCACGCAGCCCTTACTCCATCAAAGAGGGGCTGGATGTCCTGCACCAGCCCCACGGCAATGGGGCTGGCCGCCTTCCTCGGGAGGTGACCCATCACGTTCCATACGATCATCAGGGCTTTTATCCTGAGCTCATCCTCAGCATCCCAGAGCCCGTGCATGATGTGGGGCAGGAGCCGCTGCAGTTTCCTTGCCTGCAGGAAGAGGTGGGGGCTCCTTGTGGGGAGGCCTTGACCCAAGGCTGTGGTCACCAAGGTCATGGCCAAGAGGGGTCCCTATGGCCATGCCCTGACCCGTGGCCAAGAGGTCTCCCCATGAGCCTTGGCCAAGAGGGCCCCCCATGCCCATGCCCTGCCCCGTGTCTGTGCCCTGCTCCATGGCCAAGCGGGTTCTCCATGATCGTGCCCTGCCCCATGCCCATGTTCTGCCCCATGGCCATGCCCCGCTCACCAAGACAGGTTTCTCCGACAGCTTCAAGAGGCTTTCCAGCAGCACGGACGCTGTCATCAGGCTCTGGGGGTTCTCAGCACCCTCAGAACCACCAGCACCGGAGGCCATGGGCTAAAGGCAAACACAGGCATTGAGACCCCACCGAGCCTGCAGGGCTCATGGGAGGCCATCAGGGCCCTTTGGGTACTCACAACGAAGTTGGGGATGGAGGTGTCCCGGGTGTCCTGAAGCACCCCCAGCAGCTCCCGTAGGGCCTCCGAAGTCTTGGATATGGTCAGGACCGTCTCCCACATGTCCACATCAGCGCTGGAAGGCAGGGCGCTGAGTCAGCGTGGTCCACACATCCCATGGGATGCTCTATGGGGGTTAGTGGTGGTGCTCCCCATGGAGTGGGATGCAGGGACCCGCTCCTCAGAGATATCATAGCACTATGGAAAGGGCCGTAAGATCATCCAATTAAAACTCCAATGCCATGGGGTGGCATGGAGGGACCTGCTCCTTAGGGATGTCATAGCATCATGGAAAGGGCCTTAAGATCTTCCAGTTCCAGACCCAATGCCATGGGATGGGATGAAGGGACGCGCTCTTCAACATCATAGGAAAGGCCTTAAGATCATCCATTGCCCTTGGTCCTTGGGTCTGGTGGCCGTAGGGACCAAGCCCTCAAGGCTGGTACCTGTCTGTCAAGGGCACGTTGAGGACCATGTTGACCGCCAATGCCCTCGGGTGCTTGATGGCCATCAGGATGAGGAGCCTGTCCATCATTCTCCGTGTCTCTTCCCTGCTGCTATTCCGCAGGCATTCATAGATGCTCCTCACGACACTGGACATCTGGAAGAGGAAGAACAGGCGAGGATGGTGCTGGGACCGGATTCCCCATCCATCTCTGCTGCATCTTTGTACCCAAGACCCCTCCTAGGTTTGGGATGGAGGAGGAAGGACCGAAGGGGATGGGAACGCAGCCATGGGCCACCCACCTCGGCCAGCCAGAAGTCGAGGTCGCTCAGGACCAGCTCCAGGATGTCCTCTGCCACCCTCCTGTTGAAGATGCTCGAGTCCTTCATGGCCTCAATGACCACGCAGACCATGTCCGTCCTCTCCCATGGATAAAGGGAGCCTGCAAACCTCTATGAGAGGAAGGTTGGGAGCGTGAGCGTTGTCCCTGCTTGGGGAAGCATCCCACCATAGGGTCCAGCACTGGGGGGAGCTCCATTACCATGGTGAGGTATTGGCTGGTTTTTTCACCCCATCTGAGCTTTTCCACTTCATGCTCTGGCTTTGGCCTTTCTGAAGAGCAAGGGGGACACAGGAGAGTCAATGGGACACAGGGGAGTCAATGGGATACAGGGGAGTCAATGGGACACAGGAGAGTCAATGGGACACAGGAGAGTCAATGGGACACAGGAGAGTCAATGGGATACAGGAGAGTCAATGGGACCCAGGAGAGTCAATGGGACCCAGGAGAGTCAATGGGACACAGGAGAGTCAATGGGACACAGGAGAGTCAATGGGACACAGGAGAGTCAATGGGACACAGGAGAGTCAATGGGACACAGGGGAGTCAATGTGACACAGGAGAGTCAATGTGACACAGGAGAGTCAATGGGATACAGGAGAGTCAGTGGGACACAGGCGAGTCAATGGAACACAGGCGAGTCAATGGGATACAGGAGAGTCAGTGGGACACAGGGGAGTCAGTGGAACACAGGAGAGTAAATGGGAGACAGGGAGGGGTCGGGGGGGGGGGCCATCATGGCCTCTGGTACCTTTCTGCTGCAGGAGGTACTGATGGAGGCTGCAAAGAGCATCCAGGGCCAGGGAGCTTGTCCTGTCCTTGGCATAGTGGAAGAGGAGGAGGTGGCCCAGGAGCTGGCCCAGGAGAGGGACTGGGAGCTCCTGTGGGGGGACAGGGATGAAGAGGCTGATCCAGGTCAGGTACAGGTTTTGGGGAGGGAGAAAGAACTTGAACAAAAGGTGAAGCACCCAAAGAATGAGGAGGAAAGAAAAGAGAAGGACAAAGAGGAGGAGAAGGAGAAGAAAGAGAAGAAGGAGAAGAAGGAGAAGAAGAAGGAGAAGAAGAAAGGAGCAGGAGCAGGGTCAGAGGCAAGAGCAGGGACAGGAGCAGAGGCAGGAGAAGGGGAGGGGCAGGAGCAGGAGCAGGGGCAGGAGCAGGGACAGAGGCAGAGGCAGGAGAAGGGGCAGGAGCAGGGACAGGGGCAGAGGCAGAGGCAGGAGAAGGGGCAGGAGCAGGAGCAGGGACAGAGGCAGAGGCAGGAGAAGAGGCAGAGGCAGGAGAAGAGGCAGAGGCAGGAGAAGGGGCAGGGGCAGGAGCAGGGACAGAGGCAGAGGCAGGAGAAGGGGCAGGAGCAGGGACAGGGGCAGGAGCAGGGGCAGGAGCAGGGACAGGGGCAGAGGCAGGAGAAGGGGCAGGAGCAGGGATAGAGGCAGAGGCAGGAGAAGGGGCAGGAGCAGGGACAGGGGCAGAGGCAGGAGAAGGGGCAGGAGCAGGGACAGAGGCAGAGGCAGGAGAAGGGGCAGGAGCAGGGACAGGGGCAGAGGCAGGAGAAGGAGCAGGAGCAGGGACAGGGGCAGAGGCAGGAGAAGGGGCAGGAGCAGGGACAGGGGCAGAGGCAGGAGAAGGGGCAGGAGCAGGAGCAGGGACAGAGGCAGAGGCAGGAGAAGGGGCAGGAGCAGGGACAGGGGCAGAGGCAGGAGAAGGGGCAGGAGCAGGAGCAGGGACAGAGGCAGAGGCAGGAGAAGGGGCAGGAGCAGGGATAGAGGCAGAGGCAGGAGAAGGGGCAGGAGCAGGCAGACTCAGGATGCTCTGCAGGTCCCCGTCTCCCCGTGCTGGGGTCGCTGCCGCCCGCCTCGGTCCTGCCGGGTCCTTACCCTCAGTGTGCGGTGGTGCCGCAGCAGCTGGGTCAGGGCCGCGATCCTGCCCAGGGCCCTCTCCCTCACGGCGGGGCTTCGGGAGCCGCTGAAGCGCAGCAGGAGCTGGGCAGGGGCAGAAGCCGTGGGTGAGCCCCGGAGCTGCGGCAGGGGCTGGATCCCCCCCGCTTCCATTGCAGCTCCCGCTGAGCATCACCGCGGGGCGGGCAGGGATGGAGGCAGCGGCACGGGAAGGGATGCAGGGGGTGAGGGCTTGGTCCCCTCGCTGTGGGGGATGCCCCGGCCGCAAGGACCAAGGCACGGCCCCGCTTCCAGGGGCGGTATACATATACACACATATACATATGTATACAAATATACACACATATATATATACATATATACACATATATCTATAACAGAGAAGTTCCTCCTCTAAAGACCTCTTCATGCAACAGTTCAGGGCAAGGGAACCAGTCCATGGGCCCATGGTGCCAGGAGGCAGCAAAGACCCCATCACGGGGGGGGGGCTCAGTCTCCTGATGTGGGGTCCCTACCCTGAGCTCTGCGGGCAGCGGCCACCACCGCCTGCAGCCCCTGTGTTCCAGGAGGGCCTTGGGTTACCCAGGAAAGGGGGGGCCCATGGCTCTGGGGGGGCCCCATGGGTGAGGAGCAGCCCCCATGCACCGCGCTCCACGCAGGCCAGACCTGCAGGATGCTCTGCAGCTCCTCGCCGCCCCTGGGGTCAGGAGAGTTGAGCATCAGGCTCCGGAGCATGTTATTCATGGACTGCAGTGCCTGCAGGGACAGAGCAGAGCCCTTTGGGTACCAACAGGGCTTCAACCATGGGTATCCCGCTGCCCCAGTGCTCCAAAGGGAACTGCGGGCTCCTGGAGCTTCTTACGTGGACGTAGTAGTAGGTATCCAGGCTTGAAAACTCCTCTTTCGGAGGCAGGAAGAAGACGCTCCTGAAGCAGGTCTCTAAGAGGCCTCTCCCTTGGTCCGCAAGCCCTGACTGCACTGAGCTGCACAGGGAAGAAGGCTCCGGTTGGATGCTTGTGATGGGAGCAGTGGGGTCCTCAGGAGGGATGCGCAGTTGTGGTACCTCAGTTCCGCTATCGCATCCATGGCGAGATGCCGCACCTCCGTGCGCAGCCGGTCCGTGGGCTGCTCTTGGAGCAGTGTCTATAGGGCACAATGGGGATAAGGGACCTGGGAGTCCACCAATGCTGCCCTCATTGGGTGCTGGAGCCCTTTGCCCCATAGCATCCCCATGGGGGTCCCTTCACCTGGATGGTCTCTGTGAGTTGGTTCTTACGGCAGAAGACATCCAGGCCCTGTTGCAAGCCGCAGATCCTGGCTGTGCTCAGCAGGGAGCAGACGCTCTCAAGGAATGCAACCTTTTCAAGCTCAGACTGGAAACCAGGGAGGATGGAGGCACAAACAGGGAGCGTGAGAAGGGACGGGGGTACCAGAGTGCTAGGGTTGAAGGCAGCACCCAACAGCGCCCATCAGCATCACAATGGCTGTGCTCACCGTGGTTGGGGTGTTGACAAAGGCCTCGATGCGCTTCACATTGCCCCGCTCCAGTGCGTACACGGGTAACCAGCTGTCATCTAATGGAGGAAGAGGAGAGGTTTGGAGAGCAGAGGAAGCTCTGCTCCCCTGCCAGCATCCAAGGAAAGTGGTGCTGGTCATAAAGTCATGGAATCATAGAATGGGTTGGGTTGGAAAGGACCCGCAGATCACCCACTGGGTTTTCCATCCCAACCCCTTCTATGGCTCTAGGATCCGATGTCACCAAGGCTGTGTCCAACCTGGCCGTGGATGGAGCATCCACCCTGTGCCAGCACCTCACCTCCTCCATAGGGAACAACTTCCTTCTATCCAAGCGGAACTTCCCCTCTTCCAGTCTGAACCCATCACCCCTTGTCCTGCTCCCACACCAACACTCACCAGTCCTCAATGGCACAGCCACGGATTCCTCATAGGGCTCCAATGAAGAGATGCTCTCCTCCCGAGCCTCATCCCTCTCCCAAGCCTGCCGGGGGGATCTGGAGGCTCTCTCCATCATCCCACAGGATGCAGGAAAGGGATCGGGATAGCGAAGGGGAAATCTTGGACCAAACCAACAGGGCTTGAGCTCAGAAGCAACCCAGTGGCTCCTTCCTCCTGCTCTGTCCTGTCACTGTCTGCTCCCCTCACCAAAGCACTCAAGTAGGGTGACACAAATGAGGTCACAAAGGGCCCCGTGTTGACCCGTTGCCATGGTGACCCAGCTGGGTTCTAGACTGAGGCTGTGGGAGAGCCTGCTGCAGGGCCATGAGCTGGGGCTGTCACCCAAAGCAGCATCCCTGTACCCCAACATGCTGGGTGTGGGGACCCTTCCTTATGGGGCTCAATAAAGATGGGGTTTGGGGTACCCTGTAATTTTGGGTTGGCTTACGGCTACTGGGATGGATGGAGATGGCTGGGGCAGGGTGGGTTTCTGGGTACCAGAAGGGTTACGGGATGCTTTAAGGGTACCAGGGCTACTGGGGGGCAGTGGGAATGTTGGGAATGATGGAGAGGCCTGGGACTGAGGTGAACCAGGACCTCAATGTGAAGACACAGAAGCTGTGGGGCCGGGGGGTGGGTGGGTGGTGGCAGAGCTGTAGGGGTCTGTGGTAGCCATGGAGGGTGCTACATCAGGAGAGCTGCTGCAGGTGATGGAAGCCCCTTGAAGGAAGCTGCTGAGAGCCAGGCTGAGAAGAGTTGGGATGCAGAAGAGACCTCCGAGCAGCTTCCAGTGCCTGAAGGGGGTTACAAGGATGCTGGAGAGGGACTGCACTTCATTGCCTTGAAGAACCAGCTCCATCTTGCTCTCAACACAGAGCTCCCAATCTACAGCTTGCAATTAAGCGTGGGTTTGATTAACAGCTTATAATTCCCCCCCTGGAGCCTCACAGCATGCACGTAGATCCCATAAGCCCCATCTCCTATCAGTTTCCCATCTGTAATGCTGAAACCTCATTTGAAGAGCAGTACTGAGGCATTGAAACCCTTGTGGGGCCCAAACACAAATCAATCTATTATGAACAGATTCTTTCATCATGTCCAATTTAATAGTCAAGAGTCCCAGTCCAGTTCCTCACAGCAATCAGTCAAAGCATGGACAGTCCAGGCTCATTGCAGTTCAGTCACGCACAAGGGGGATGGGATGGAATAAAATAGGAAGGGATGGGGTGGGATTGGGATGGGAAGGGGAGGGACAGAATGGGATTTAGGAGAGGAGAGGAGAGGAGAGGAGAGGAGAAGGATGAAATGAAATGAAATGAAATGAAATGAAATGAAATGAAATGAAATGAAATGAAACGAAATGAAATGACATCAAATGGAAATGAAATTATATCATGATATGATAAGATATGAAATGATACATTTTCAGAGAGCGGAAGAGAAGAGAGGAGATGAATGAGATGAAATGGGATGCTACAGATGAGACACGTTTAGAGGAGTTGTGGTGAGATGAAATGAGAAGGAGGATGAAATGACGCGAACTGATATGATGCTATAACAGAACATGGTTTGATATAGCGTGAGAATACATGATGTGGATGGAAACAGAATGGAAATGATATGAAATTAAATTATGATGTAATGTAAAATGATACGACATGAAAGGGAAATGAAATGAAATAAAATGATAGGATAGGTTATAATATGATAGATTATGACATGATATATGATATATGATATATGATATATAATGTGATATGGTATTACATGATACAATATATTTGGAGAGAAAATGAGGAGATGGAGAAATGAAACCAAATGCAATGAAATGGAAATGAAATTAAATTATATGATCTGATATGACAGTGTAACATGATGTAACATGATATAACACGATAAAACATAATATGTTACGTGATATGATATGAGATATGCTATGAGATGAGGAGGATGAAATGAAATTAAACACAATGACATCAAATGGACATGAAATGGAAATGAAATTAAATTAAATTAAATATAATCAAATTATATGATATGGTATGGTACGGTATGGCATAGTATGCATGATATGCTATGATATGGTTTGATAAGATATGATATTCTATGATATGCTATAATATGATATATGATATGATAGGGTGGTATGACATGATCAGATACGATAGATTATGATATGATAAATATGATAAAATATGACATGATATGATACACGATAATATTTTTAGAGAGGAAAGAAAATGACGAGGATGAAAAGAAATTAAATGCAATGAAATGGAAATGAAATTATATGATGCTATAATGTGATGTAACATGATATAACATGATAAAACATAATATGTTACATCATACAATACAAGATATGCTAAGGGATGAGGAGGATGAAATGAAATTAAACAAAATGACATTAAACGGACATGAAATGGAAATGAAATGAAATGAAATTAAATATAATCAAATGATATCATATGGTAACATGATATAACATGATAAAACATAATATGCTGTATAAGATATGCTATGCTATGCTTTGATATGGTATGAGATGCTATAATACGCTATATGATACAATATCATATTCTGCAGCATACTCATCTCCTCTCTCCTATCCTCATCATATGCTGTGAAATGAGGAGAGGAGAGAAAGGAGAGGAGAGGAGAGGAGAGGAGAGGAGAGGAGAGGAGAGGAGAGGAGAGGAGAGGAGAGGAGAGAGGAGACATGGATTGGGATGGGTTGGGATGCGATGGGATGGGAGGCATTGGGATGGGATGGGAAGGGATGCGATGTGACGAGATGAGATGTGATGTGACGAGATGAGATGTGACGCGATGAGACGCGATGCGATTAATTAGGTACGATGAGATGAAATGGGATGCGATGCGACGCAATGACATGAGATGCAATGAGATGCAATAGGATGTGATGCGATGACAAGAGATGCGATGAGATGAGATGCAATGCTGTCCTGGGTTCAGCAGTAGCAGTCATGTTTCTCCTTCGTGGTAGCTGGTGCAGTGCTGTGTTTTGACTTCCAGCCTGGGAACAGTGCTGGTGATACCGATGTTTTGTGATGTGATGTGATGCGATGAGATGCGACGGGATTCGATGCGATGCAATGACACAAGATGCAATGAGATGCAATAGGATGTGATGCGATGACAACAGATGCGATGAGATGAGATGCGATGTTGTCCTGGGTTCAGCAGTAGCAGTCATGTTTCTCCTTCGTGGTAGCTGGTGCAGTGCTGTGTTTTGACTTCCAGCCTGGGAACAGTGCTGGTGATACCGATGTTTTCGGTTGTTGCTAAGTGATGTTTACCCTGACCAAGGACTTTGTGAGGCTCATGCTCTGCCAGGGAGGAGGGGAAGCTGTGAGGAAGCAGAGACGGGGCGCCTGACCCAGGCTAGCCAAAGAGGTATTCCATACCACAGTCCATCATTCCTTGGGGGGGGGGGTGGTAACAGGGAGTTACGCAGAAGGACACGGGTTTCCAGGTGGGACTCGTTTCTTGGCCGGTGGTATCGTATTCTCTTCCCTTGTTATTTTCTCTTATCATTGTTGTCGTTGGTAGTAGCGGTGGTGATTTGTGTCGTACATTGGTTGCTTGTCTCAGCTCATGGGAGTTGCACTCTTTTGATCCTCCTCCCCGTTCCTCCGGGAGCGGGGAAGGGGAGAGCCCCGAGTGGGGGCCTCGATTGCTCTCAGCCCGGCACCGCTCACTGGGAGTGAGTGAACAAGCTGTCTGGCTAGGGTTTAAACCACGACAGATGTGATGAGATGCAATGGGATGCGAAGAGATGCAATGGGATGTGATGCGATGAGATGCATTGGAATGCGATGCAATGCAATGTGATGAGATGACATGAAAATTGATGAGATCAGATGCGAGGAGATGCAACGGGATGCAATGAGATGAGATGCGATGAGATGACATGAGAATTGATGAGATCAGATGCGATGAGATGCAATGGGAGGAGATGCAATGGGATGCAATGCGATGCAATGTGATGCGATGAGATGTGACGCGATGCGACGGGATTCAATGCGATGCAATGACATGAGATGTGATGAGATGCAATGGGATGTGATGCGATGCGATGAGATGCAATGGAATGCAATGCAATGTAATGAGATGAGATGGGATGAGATGAGACACGATGAGATGAGACACAATGAGATGCCATGGGCTATGACGCGATGCAATGGGATGCGATGGGATGTGATGCGATGAGATGCGATGTGAGGAGATGCGATGTGATGCGATGCAATGAGGTGCGATGCGATGCAATGACATAAGATGCGAAGAGATGCAATCCGATGTGAAGCGATGAGATGAGATGCAATGAGATGAGATGCAATGGAATGCAT